ACGGTACAAGTGAAATGGTTTATATAAAACTTGACCTGCATTTTGTCATCAGTAATTATAACAACATATTTTAAATTTTAAAAGCATTGGTTGAGTGGTACATACATTATTGCATAAGAAACGACATAAAGTGGCATTTTCAAAGATGTAAGGATCATAACTCCTGAACAGTAAAAGTGAAAATCGTCAATATCGAGCTTGACTTCTATTTTGCCTATAAGGTTCCATTTTCCAATATATCAAGGTCCATTACTCCTGAACAACAGAAGTAAAAATTGTCAATATCAAACTTGACCTCCATTTTGTTATCAGTAACAAAATATAATAATTTGAAAAACATTAGTTTGAATGGCTGTAAGTTGTAGCACGGAAAAAACATAATGTGCCATTTTCCAAAATATCAAAGACTATATTTCCTGAACAGTAAAAGTGAAAATTGTCAATTTCGAATTAGACCTCCATTTTGTCATAGTTTCAACATATAAAAATTTAAAAAGCACCGTTTGTAGAGTTCATATCGGATACTGCTAGGAGCCAGCCGCCCGTAGTACTTCACCATTTAAATTACCGGAATTTTCCTTCGGAAAACCCTATTAAAAAAGGTAGCGACTTTTCCCTACAAAATCGAACGCCCGACCGACATCACCATACTATAAACTGGTGCAACTCTTAATTGCGGCGGACGATTCTAGTTCAAAATCAAATGTACGATGAATTTCTGGGGTTTTTTTTTCAGTTAAAAAACTAATCTTAATAAAAAAAAATAATTTCCGAGTTAACTTATTATTTTAAATACATGAAAATTTAAGCTTTGGATTATTATTCACCATATAGCGTCTAGCTTGCTAGTTTGTTGCTTAGTCTGATCATTGTTTTTCCATACATACTTTTTTCATGAAAAACATATGTTTTCTATTTTCAAAATACTTTGCAAATATATATTGAACATACCTTTCTGTCGGGTCAAAAAGGATAGTTTATGTATCTTTTGGGCTAAATTTCTAAAACAATATCATTTGCATAATATGATAGCAGTCTTTTATTTTAAATCACTAGTTTTCCAATTCTCGTTGAAGAAATTAAAAACATAAAAAATGGAAATAACTTAAAATAAACTGACAACAGGACTGAAAAATTAATTTTTACCTGTTTGAAATTTCCTGTCGCCGGCCTTACTTCCTTCTTTATTTCGCAGAACTGGGCGAATTTAAAACCGTAACGGTTGTGTTGTTATCTTTAATAGTTGGTATATTGAGACGGGTAACAATAAACAAGAACACATAAACAGGGATTTAAACATTTTATAATGCGTTATTATTTTTGCATATATTTCTCTAAACTACCTGTTGATTTATTTAACATTAAAATCAACGTAAATTAACTTATTCTGACAGCTTGACGATTATTCTATTTACTAAATTGTAAACAAAATCAGTTCTGGAACATTATAATTTTTAATATTCTGTTGCCTTATCTTAAGGTTTACAGCGTTTTATGTAGAAAATCGTATAAGTGTTGAAATGAGATGTTTCAACATTTGAAATTTCCAGCAACTTTATGGTGTTTAAACATGTAGATATTTCTCAAAAGAATATAATAAGAACGTTTCTGTCAATGGCACCCCTTAACGTAACTATTTTGCTGTTTTGTTTAGGCCTTTTTGATTTTCATGCTCGCTAAAGTTTCCTTTTTTGGCTTTCCAAACAACTACACGTGTTGTGTGCACGGGAATCATATTACATTTTTGTTTTATCATCTCTGGTTTGTTTTAAAATGTAAAAATAAGAAAAATCACCAAAAATTTATAAATAAGGTTAAAATAAAAATAAAAACATTAATATGACAATTCAAATGAGTTCTTTGTGGATGCGTTATTCTAAAACGGTAGCCCCCTATTAACACGCATTAACTGAAATAGACATTTAGAGGTCAAAATATAGTTTTCAGTAAAAGGGAACGTTCCAGCACAGTACGACAAGTTGTAACTTGTCCCCGAATATAGATGTTAGTTGATATTATTATACTATACTATATTAACCAATAAAAAAGAAGATAATACAACATATGTTTCTTTCTTTCAACACAATAACCCATTTTTCGATAAACTAAGTAGGTAAAATAACTATTTGTGAATATATCAAAGTAAAAAATAAGCATTTATATTCATTCGCGCTATTTGCATGTCGAAGAATTGTCGATTATCGTCAGATGAAAATGACAATGACCACATTTTCGGTTGCAGTTCTGATTTAGACATAGAACATCCTTTAAAAAAAAAACAAATGCAAAAAAGGTAGCATAACTTCATATTAGTTTCAGTTGAATAATACAGTTATGTCTTACATTAAAAGGTGAATATCTAAACTTATTAAATCTTGAAAAAGTTTATTTTCCTCGATTTGATAAAATTGTGTATCAGTTTTGCTGAAAGTAATAAGGATGTAAAAATGTCTGATAACAATACCAATACTAAGTTCTGAAACAACATGAAGAGACAGCGACAATGCCCTGCTAGATTCAATGGGAGCAGTATAGTTTTGTTAGAACTAAACCCCTTTCTCTTTTATTGCGATACTTCAAAGTAAAAACACTTGAATAAAGTTATCCAGAAAGATGCACTGAACTAAATTATTATGGTATTACAAAACATTTAGGCACGTCTTATCAAATACATGTACCGGTATTACAATATACAATGTATTTACGAGATTTGAACATCGGTAAACTACTGTCGCCTTAATATTGTATAAAATAATGATTACTTCTTAAATGATTGCTTAGCTAAACACATTACAATAAAATAGTGTTGATAGTTAGCTAATTGTCTGAATGACAAGTGTAGATAGGTTATGTATACTAGTAGTATTGCTAATTTTATGAGTTTCATCAAACGAAACAAGGAAATCACAAAGATATACACAAAATAATACGTAATGAATTGCATATTTCTCTTTGTAGTACCTTGTACACACAAACACACACATGGACAACGGCTATATTAGTCATTTCAGCAGCATCTTTATATGAAATATATATCTCCCATTTCTAGAGCTTATTCACGTTTCTGATCATGGGGTCTGGTAGAGCGTCGCTGCTTTCACGGAAGCTATTATTAGGATTCTTAATAGTTAAGTTGAACTCGTCTCTTAGTAAATTTAATAGATGAATATTTTATTGAATATAATTTCAGTGAGTTTGATACTTGTTGAAATGCCTTTACTGTATTTTCAGTACGATTCAGGAATTATTGAACTGTTGTGTTTGTTTATAGAACAAAATATTCAAAACATGAATCAAAAACTCAAATAACAGAGTTGAACATAATGTTTCTTAAACAATGGAGAATGGTCATTAATGAAGATCTGAAAAAAATGTGGAAATAGAGAATGTAAAAATGGTGTAACATCTTTGAATAAAGCTATAATAACAGATGCATAATAGGTGTGTAAAAATTTAAGAATCTGGTTTAAAAAAAATCACAGGAGAAGGTAATTGCACCAAATTGTTACCGACTTTTGAAAATTTTGCTGAAAAAGTTTCGAAATCTCGAAAATGATATCGATCTTGACCACCATTTTGTCATCATTAACAGCTCATTAAAATTTAAGAGCATTCTTCAATTTGGTTGAACGGTTCATAAGTAATTGCACGGAAACCACATACAATTCCATTTTCAATCTATCAAGGACCATTACTCCTGAATGGCAAAAGTGAAAATCGTCAATATAGATCTTGACCTTTATTTTGTCATCACTAACTAAATATTAAAATTTGAAGAGCATTGGTTGAACAGTTCATAAGTTATTGCACGGAAACAACATAAAGTGCAATTTTCCAATATATCAGGACCATAACTCCTGAACGGTACAAGTGAAATGGTTTATATAAAACTTGACCTGCATTTTGTCATCAGTAATTATAACAACATATTTTAAATTTTAAAAGCATTGGTTGAGTGGTACATACATTATTGCACAAGAAACGACATAAAGTGGCATTTTCAAAGATGTAAGGATCATAACTCCTGAACAGTAAAAGTGAAAATCGTCAATATCGAGCATGACTTCTATTTTGCCTATAAGGTTCCATTTTCCAATATATCAAGGTCCATAACTCCTGAACAGCAGAAATACAAATTGTCAATATCAAACTTGATCTCCATTTTGTCATCAGTAACAAAATATAATAATTTGAAAAACATTAGTTTGAATGGCTGTAAGTTGTAGCACGGAAAAAACATAATGTGCCATTTTCCAAAATATCAAAGACTATAATTCCTGAACAATAAAAGTGAAAATTGTCAATTTCGAATTAGATCTCCATTTTGTCATCAGTTTCAACATATTAAAATTAAAAAGCACTGTTTATAGAGTTCATAACGGACACTACTAGGAGCCAGCCGCCCGTAGTACTTCACCATTTAAATTACCGGAATTTTCCTTCGGAAAACCCTATTAATAAAGGTAGCGACTTTTCCCTACAAAATCGAACGCCCGACCGACATCACCATACTATAAACTGGTGCAACTCTTAATTGCGGCGGACGATTCTAGTTCAAAATCAAATGTACGATGAATTTCTGGGGGTTTTTTTTCAGTTAAAAAACTAATCTTAATAAAAAAAAATAATTTCCGAGTTAACTTTTTATTTTAAAAAATAAATAAAAAATTTAAACTTTGGATTAATATTCACCATATAGCGTCTAGCTTACTAGTTTGTTGCTTAGTCTGATCATTGTTTTTCCATACATACTTTTTTTCATGAAAAACATATGTTTTCTATTTTCAAAATACTTTGCAAATATATATTGAACATACCTTTCTGTCGGGTCAAAAAGGATAGTTAATGTATCTTTTGGGCTAAATTTCTACAACAATATCATTTGCAGAAATGCATAATATGATAGCAGTCTTTTATTTTAAATCACTAGTTTTCCAATTCTCGTTGAAGTAATAAAAAAACATAAAAAATGGAAATAACTTAAAATAAACTGACAATACCTTTTTTACCTGTTTGAAATTTCCTGTCGCCGGCCTTACTTCCTTCTTTATTTCGCGGAAATGGGCGAATTTAAAACCGTAACAGTTGTGTTGTTATCTTTAATAGTTGGTATATAGACGGGTAACAATAAACAAGAACACGTAAACAGGGATTTAAACATTTTATAATGCGTTTTTATTTTTGCATATATTTCTCTAAACTACCTGTTGATATATTTAACATAAAAACATGTCATCGTAAATTAACTTATTCTGACAGCTTGACGATTATTCTATTTACTAAATTGTAAACAAAATCAGTTCTGGAACATCATAATTTTCAATATTCTGTTGCCTTATCTTAAGGTTTACAGCGTTTTTATAGAAAATCGTATAAGTGTTGAAATGAGATGTTTCAACATTCGAATTTTCCAGCAACTTTATGGTGTTCAAACATGTAGATATTTCTCAAAAGAAAATAATAAGAACGTTTCTGTCAATGGCACCCCTTAACGTAACTATTTTGCTGTTTTGTTTAGGCCTTTTTGATGTTCATGCTCGCTAAAGTTTCCATTTTTTGGCTTTCCAAACTACATGTGTTGTGTGCACGGGAGTCATATTTCATTTCATGGAATGGTTGATGTTGAGACAATTAGCCAGTCACAAAATCAGCTACATAGCTGTTGGTTATCGAAGGCCTTAAACTTTATGCAAAGGCTTAAACTATACATATCAAGGAAATCAAATGGTAATATTTCAAATAATTTCAAAACGTTTTTCAAACATTTATTTAACACAAATCAATCAAATTGTATCTGAAAGGTAACTTACAGCATTACCTCTGAAAGAATGTTCGTTTTGGTTAAAAATGTTTTTTTTTTAGATTTTATCCTCTAATTACCAAAAACTTTGAAATTGCATATTAAAGCCATCTTGAAGAATTTATAAATTGGTTATATGTTTAGATATACAGCATTCTTTTGTTACAACAAAGTACATCTACATTTGAAGCTGTGATATCAATTCAGGGGGAATTTTCCTAAAGGTAACTGTGATTTTGAGATACATATTAAAAATACTTTCCCCGGATTGATAAAACAATATGAGAAAATGAATCATTCAAAAAATAGGAAAATGTTCATATAATAATAATGTTGGAAAACTTGTTTACTTATTTTTTGTTAATAGATATAATTTTCGTTTTTCTGTCAGCAACACATGTACTGCAAAGCTTCATGATATGCTGTAATATACGTAGCAAATTATTCATTTCATGTTTTATAATGTAATATTAAACAAAATATTCGTATGACCAACAAATAATGTTTTAAAAATGCTCCGCGGCAACCGGGTTAACGTATTTTGTTAATCGTGACATACCCGGTAGTATCTTTTTCATCTTGACAGGTATTGAACAAAATCGGCGCTTTTAATAAGAGCGACGACTTAATGCCTTTAACGACATTTTACACATGTATGCTGTATAAAATTGCATTTTAGTGGAATCCTTGTATTGTTTTTATATGAAAATCTCAACATTATCACTCAATGAAAAAATTCCCAAACTGCATTCCTACTCTAATTAATTTCATTTATTACTACTACAAGTTGATGTTATATATGTTATTTTTGTTTTGCTGCTTAAAATTTAAGATTTTTCACATTTGAATTTTGAACGGGTCTTTCTTTTAAATAAGCAGTTAGCCTTACCTTATTTTATTTCCAAAATTAAGACCTACTTCCTAAATAGTTTCGCCGAACTGATTAAATATCAATAACAAGCCTTTGTTTGATATATCGATATGGTCATTAAAAACGTACCCACTTTACCCCCGATGAAAGCGTAACCACAGTGTTGAAATAAATGTTTAAATGAAATTATAGTTTTGTTTGGTTCATGATCTCAAAATCTTTGCAAAGCACACAAAATTGACACAGAAAAGGAAAGAAAAAAAACTTCACTCAATCTATAAGAAATAGGGAAATCGGGTGAATATTTAAGAAAGAATCCAGATTTTGAATTGCTTCTTACTGTTAAGAGATTATATATCTAATACAAGATTATATATCTTCATTCCTGGGGTCATGTCATCAAAGCTGTCTTAGGACTAGGACACGTCTTATGATGTGCTTAAGGTATGTTTAGTTCTTAGTCACGTTAGTCTCCTAAGATAAGATATGGTCATAATTACAAAGAGGAACTGAAAAAAAAGAATAAAATTTCTCTATTTGTTCACATGGGCCTTTCGTTTCCGAAAAATTTGAATCAACTCCTTTTCTTACCCATTCTGATCCAATGAATTTAAACCACTGCTCTGACGTCAGCCTATTCATTTACGGTGGTTTCTTTTTCTAGAATCAAAGCTTCTTTAAAATGCCTACCATGTTAAAACGTTCAAAAACAATTACTGTTACCTTGAGGGTATGTTTTGCTTTGAATAAACAAGAAATTTCTAATTTTGCTTCGGAAATTTACCAAAGGGTATTTTCTTTAAATTAATCTATTACAGACAGCAATAATTGTCCTTTTCTAGATTTTGATACATTGAATTTTCACACGGGAAACTATATACAAGAATTTACGACAAAAAAGACGATTTTTTCATTCCTTATTATTAATCTTAACAATTTTTGGAGGGGGGTGTTTCTTTGGTCCCTTCTACTGTGTTTATTTTTCACAACTTGTTCGCTATGCCGGTGTCTGTAGTCGCATTTTAGATTTCAATGAACGTAATTTCTGTATAACTGGCAAATCATTAAATATGGAAAACGTTCACTTAATTCTTTCATAGATACAAAAATTTGGTAAGGAGGTTCGGCTGTACTGTAGAATTCCTATTAAAATTCGTAATTCTAACGGTGATGTTGTTTGTAGAGCACGTAAATCTAGATACGATCCATGCCAACTCATTAATTCTTTGTATAATCTTATTTTAATTTAACACCGTAGTAAAGTCTTTAAAGCGGCATCAGTTACGAGATATACGAGATATAAAAAAAATAAAATATGATTATTTATTTTTTGGTTCAATCATTAATGAAAGTGAAATAGTGAAATAATAATTCGCTTTTAGCAGCCAATTTAGTTCAATTTTGTCGGAATAAGATAAGAAAACTCGCTGATGAATTATTCACACCTCATTGAATCCGTATTCATGTGACCTTCAATTTAACCCCTTAGCTGTAGATGGGTAACGCATGTATTCAGCTATTAAAAGGAAAAGAATGTCAACAATGAAAGTGAAACAAAAGGATGATCCATTTTGGTTGAATAATTCAATCCACAAAAAAATCATTCTTGTACAGGTAATCACGATGATAATCATACTTTTAAACCTACAATATGAAATCAAACAGACCTAGACAAGAGGCTGTCGAGTGACAGCAAACCGGATTTTCCTGCAGAGGTCGAACCCTGAACAGTAAAGCAAGTATGGACACAACATTTAAGCTTAAAACAGCTCTGAATTTGGATTGTGATTGAATATTTATAATAGATTATTATCTAATTAATAATGAAAATGATATTTGCAAATCTGAACCCCAAACAGGATCATGTAAAAATTAAACATTAACACACACAACAAAAATAAAATACCACAAAACAACTGTGACATCTACCTTCATAACACACATGACTTAAAAAAAATAGTTATAAAGAAATAATTTTGATGTTATTATTACTGGTTCATGGAATAAATTTGAGTTATTTCACTTTGAACAGAAATATGGTTTAACATAGTACTCTAACATTAGATATGATATCACTAAAAATAGTTCTCTCAAATTAGATATGATGTAACACAATGTATATCTATTTTCAAATTATAATCAAATATGACTAATAGTTCAAAATATTTTTTCTTTCATTTGTCACAAACTAATATAGATCTGCAACTTATCTATCAACTTTATCTACACAATGTAATGTAATGAAATATATCCTTTAATAAAATAGATTATTATCTAATTAAAGGAGTTCACTTCATAAAAAAAAATTATATATATATATATATATAGCATTCAGAAAATTAGTTAATACAGAATAACAAACAAACCTACCACAAAATTCTTCAAACAATTTTCCAAAGAAAAGAAAAAAAAATCCAAAATGTCATTTATCATTAATACAATGTCTTTTAAAAATCTTTTGAAAAAATGAGTTATTTCCTCTTGTACAGAAATGAATTAATTCATCAAAAATTGAATTCTTGGGAAACGGCTATAACTGAACAACGAGAAAAGCTAAAATCATGAAAATTGAACTTGAAACCCATTTAGTCACAGGAAACAACATATCTAAATTTGAAAAAATTCTTCAAAGCATTTTCATGTAAATGAACGTACACTGTTTGGCAGAAGAAAGCCCGCCCGCCCGCCGTACATCCCCAAATCAATAATCGATTTTACTTCGAAAATCCGGTTAAAAAACCAAATTGCACGTGGTCGCTATCTTTTTATATTTTATATTTATGTTTATATCGGGTTATATGACCGTCGGCAGTCTTCGTATCTCATCTCGATGGTTAATAAGTTGACGTCTATACATAAAAATACACAAGATATGTTAATACATATTATTGAGTCCATGCATTGTTAATTGTTTATTTTAGACCTTTTTCTAATTTGGATATACGTTTATTTTAGATAATTGTGTCAAATCGGTGAATTTAACAGATAATGCACCTTTAAACAGTGTTATATTGGTAATAATATTGATTTTGTTTTAAATAAAATTAAAACATAGCTATAAAATGTGTATTCATTTATTTTCGTATGTATTCATGTTCGTGCCTAAGGAAAAATTGTATTTTTGCGGATATTTGATTTCGTAATTTTACATAAGTCTACATACAAGCCTATAGAAAATTTGAAGTTAAATGAACATTTAAATTCATACTCACGAATTGATACTTTAGTCTGGGAGAACAAGATTTAATCATTTGTTGTAATTGGCTCTTTAAACTAAATTCCAGTGACTGCGATTGCTCTTATATCGGTGCTTCGTGTTATTGTTTTTATGTTATTTGTTTCTTTGTGCTTCGAACCAAACTAATTGCAACTGATTTTTAAAACTTGTTTTTGTGTTGTGCTGTTACATTATTGTCCATGTTAGAGAGAGGGTTGATCGCTCACAAACA